TTTTGAGGCAGGGTCTCACTATGTAGTTGAGACTGATCTGGAACTCACTATGTAGCCCAGGCTGGCCTGGAACTCACAGCGATCCTCCTGCCTCAGCCTCCTGAGTGTTGGGATTACAGGCGTGCGCCACCATGTCCAGCTTAATTTTTGCCTTAAAGTCTAAAGCTGCACCCAAAATACTTACCAGCTACAAATAAGAAGATCAGAGGTTTGCAGTGGAGAAACTTGGCAGACACTAACTTAGCCAAGTGATCAATGTAAGTTGATTCTAAAACATAAAATAATGAGAAGGACATAATCTAGTTTTGTTTTATTATTGCCAAAAATACATAACATGATTCTATTGAAAAGAAAACACTGGAAAAACTTAAATGGAGCATCATACTACAAAACAATTGACGATTACTCTTTCTAAGAGTCAAGTTTTTAAAAGACTGAGAAGCTGTTTCAGACTGGAGGACATAAGAAGACAACTAAATGCAATCTGGGGTCCTGGATAGGATCCTAGAACAGAAAAAGAGGACAATTATGGAAAAATGGCAAAACTCAGTAAGGCCTATAGTTCCATTAACAACAATGTACCCATATTAATTTTCACTCTTGATAATAATTCTATGATTGTGTAAATATTAATATTAGTGGAATGGGTAAAGAGAACTCTTCAAACTGTTTTGTAACTTTTCTGCAAATCTCAAATGGGTCCAAAATACAAATGAAAAAAGGAAGACTGATACATGCTTTGAATGTATATGCTGTTTCCCTCAACTATGAGGAACTACAGGCCTTACTGGATTACTACCCACCACTGACTCTCAGGGGCAGCAGAAGCTGAGTCTCAACAGAGGTTTTGATGCGTTGGGGTTTGCTGGGTTCCTGTGTTTCTGTGAAAGCCCTGCAGCTGCCTCTCCTTCTCTCAGCCACCTTCACTGCTTCTCACAGCAAAACTGAGAAGATGAAATAAGTGGAAGGTACATTTCTCCTTCCTGTATTTCCTGAACAGCAGAGATTTCTAGCAGCTAAGTATGAGGAAGTTGAGCTGGGTCTCTTCACACTTCTCCAAATTGTTCTGCAAACCAGACTCACAGCATTGAGACATCTCTGTCAGCGAGGCAGGTTTACTGGTGTGGCAGTTTCCATCTAATCAGAATTTAGATTCTCTCTTAGAGGGGCCCAAAGTGTGGCAAGATGCTCCAAACACCTTCCTGGTTTACCCCAAGGGGGTCCTGTTGGCACCGGCAGTTTCCAGGTAACCACAATACAATAAGTCAGGCTGGGATTTTACTGAGGTTTCTCAAAGTTGTTTGAAGAGAATGTCTGGATACCAACTGGTAAAAGCTAGTCTCAGATCCTGACCACAGGTAAGAATGATTTTTAGTTAGCTCCAAGTAAAAGGCAAGGCCAGCCCCTGCCCCTGGGGAGATGGCTAGCTGGCTCCGTTCTCTCACTCCCTGTATGATCCAGTTGTTCCAGGTCACCAAATGTTTATTGAGCACTTGCTAAGTGCCAGCCACCAAGGTCAGCACTGCGAATGCAGTAACCTTCACAATTTCTGACTGAAGGAGCTCATGGGTGTCTGGAAAGATATGGATGTGTAACGAGACAACTACTATGGTTTCTTTGTGTCAGGCCCAAATCTTTGAGTTTGTTCTCTTAGATATTATGCTGGGTCTGATGCCGGACCCTCTATTGTAAAGGGTAAGAGTGGCCTGGGCATAGACAACCAAGTAGAAGTGTGGCTGACAGGTGCTCCTGCCAGGTATGAAGCTCAGTCTAATGGGGCCTTGGGGTGCCCAGACATTTGGCCGAACAGGATTTCTGAGTGTGTCTGTGAGAGCGCTTCTGGAGGAGATTACATTTGGATTAATAGGCTGAGTAAAGCAGATCACTGTCCCCCCACCCCACACCTCCACTAATGTGTGTAGAAGTCGTTCAATCTGTTGAAGGTTGAACAGATTAAAGGTCAGGTTACGGAAGAATTCTCTCTATCTTTGGGCTGGGTCATGTCTTCTGCCTTTGGACTCGGATTGGGACTTATACCATCTGTTCTCCTGGATCCTCAGCTGTTGACTGCAGAACTTGGACCTCTCAGCCTCCATAATTCCATGAACCAATTCCTTGTGGTAACACACACACACAGACACACCACACACACACACACACACACACACGAGTTCTAGTTCTGTTTCTCTGGAGACCGCAGACTAATACACTGAGCGGTGATGGGAATCCATTGAGAGCCATTGCAATGCCTGTGCATGGGACAGAAACGCATTTCATGCTCTTGCAGGCTGGGGTGCGACAATGAGAACCGAGTCAGACTGCAAAGAGGCTGAGCCCGCCTCTGTCTCTCCCTTCCCGGGAGTTCCTAAGGCCTCATGTGTCCACCAAGTGCACCCAGTGGGCAGTGGGAACCTTATCCTTTCTTTTCCCCAAGAGGCCGCCTGCAGAAACCTGAAAGACCACCCGAGGGCGCCGCTACTCCACAACTTTTCTGCAAAATCTGAATGCAA